TTGGCTGGCAGAAGGTGTATGATAACGATTTGGACAACATTGCTGGCGATTACAAGTCTCAAGTTTTGGGCGCAGAGGCAGCTATTTGGTCGGAAGAAATTGACGAGCATACTTTGGATTCACGTTTCTGGCCACGAGCCAGCGCCTTGGCAGAACGTTTGTGGTCGAATCCGAAGCAGCCGTGGCGTTCGGCTGAAGCGCGTATGCTCTATCACCGACAACGTTTGACAGAATTGGATATTGATGCGGAATCAATGCAACCAGAGTGGTGCTTACAAAACGAAAATCAATGTCCCATAGATGCTTATGATCAAAAATTTTGAATCTGAAAGTAATACTAATTTTGATTATATTCGTAATAATACTGATAATAGGTATGTTTGATGTAAAATATCCAGCAGCAAATCAGGGTAATTTCGGAGAAATGTCAACTTTTCGCATACATAGAAAATTATCTAAAAGCTTCAAAGAACAGAAAGTCTAGCTGATTATTTGGCATATATTACACGGTACATTCTAAAAAACGTAATTTATACACTAAACATTATTAAATATTATATAGCAAACATGCCTATTATCTTACTTGTAACTGTAATACATATTTTTGAAATGTATATGTGAGAGTTGTTAATAAAAATGATGGTTTTGAATAGAACTTCTACCATACACTGGCATAATTTGACGAGGTGAAATCCTTTCATCGAAAATATATGCTTGAGGTATTACTTCCAATTTTAGAACAACTACTTTTATGAATGCACTTGCTTTATATAGTTGATATTAGGGAAAATTGCGTGTGGATAGTGTGGAATGTTCTGAATTTATTGGAATATACTTTAATATGCCCGTACGAGTTGTTTATTCTTTTTACTTTGATATTGTTGGTGTTCTGCTTGTTATGCTAATTAGTATTAAGGCCGTTATTGGGCAACAGAATAAAAAACCGGTTGTGCTTATAAGCTTCAACTCATTAAAAGCGTTACAAAAATATATAGGGCACTGACGCAATTAATGCTCCTTTCCACTTGTGCATAGGCACTTTCTAAAAAATTAGTTAATCCACTTTCAAGCTGCTTTGTATTTTAAATCGCTGGTTTCATAATATTTTTTTTAACTTTTTTTGTTATAATTTTTTTTACTAATGCCAGTTGGCGATCGTGCGTGGTTCAAGACGATTCTTTAACATTTACATACACACATACATATGTATGTATGCAGAAATATAGTGGCTTTTGCTGTTTAAATCAATCGGAATCAGAAGCAAAACAAAAATATAAAAAATCTAATATCCCTGAGTGTTTGTACTGCAGCGGCAATTCGTTAAAAACCAGCCAAAGAAGCTGCTGTGTGTTGTTACCGCTTTAGTTGTGTTTCCACTTTAGCCATATTTCACTATTCAAGTGCGGGTGAATATTTTAGTTTTCTTTGTTGTGTTGTTCGCTCGTTTTTTTTGTTTTTTTGTTTTGTCTGTTGTTAAAAGTGCCACAAGCAATTACCATATTTAAATTGGCTCATACATTTGCAGTCATTTCAAGCGTAAACGTCGCCGAGACTTGGTCGAAAACGTTGTAACTGTGAATTCATTAATCAGGCCAACAAATCGAATATGAAGGTGTTGGCATCGCTTTTGGTGGTACTTGCATTGAGTGT